CTCTCGGAAAAGAGACCGGCGTCGAGTCGACTCGTATCGACACGACACGAGTCGACACGACACGACTCAGAGTCGACTCGAGGTTGTGTCGACACGAGTCGACACAGAGTCGTGTTGTGTCGACTCTGTGTCGATACTGTGTCGTTTCTGGTGTCAGTCGACACGATTTTTATCGACTTCAATAGTCCGACTGGTCGACTCGAATCGTATCGATTTTTGTGTCGACACGTTACTCTACTGTCGCACTCGTTTCAACTGTTTCCGGTTGTTTACGCTTTCACATATTTGTTTACATCATCGCATACACTTCGACTCAACCTTTTTTTTCTCTGACAAGGATAATATAAGGGGCACGGATGGTGTGAAAAAACGAAGAGAGCTTCTGAAAACCAATATTCCGACGAAAACTATATTAGAGAAACGGACCGAGAAGGAGTTGCCTGTACAAACCGAAGCACTCGCCACATCCCTATTCACACAGAACCCTTTATTTCCTTCGAGATTACGAGAAGAAGACCAATTCCGCGTGTTGTCACAATTTGAGCATTCGAGCTTGATCTAAGAAAATTCAGTTTCCTCGGAGATTTTCTTTAATATAACTCACTGTGACTGCATACCCAGTCGGTTTCCCCATAGATACGCCGACGGAATCACTTGAACATAATCGACAGAATTTCAGGATCTCTAGTACCTGCTCTAGTCCAACAAGAACGTATTCAAGACTATCAAAATCATCTTCCCCAGTCTCTCCACTTTCCTCACTCTTGTCACTTTCTCCACCCATGCTGTCATCACTACTTGGTTCGTAAACATACATTTTTTCTTCATCTTCCCCCAGATCTTCTTCCTCATCGTCGTCTGAATATTCTTCCTCGTCATCATCCACACCTTCTTCCTCATCATCATCATCACCCAAATCCATTGCGTCCGATGGCTCTCCCATGTCAAAATCAACATTCCCAGATGACGAAGTGGGCGCTTCATGTGAAAAAGATGCAAACGGAATTGCATCCGAAGATCTTCGCTTTCTAACACATTCTTCAGGAAAGTGAGACTTGCAGATGTATGAAATCTTATCGCCCCTATTCTGCATTTGCTTGGCGAAGCCTTCACCGAGAGCTTCTATCCACTTCTTTCTTTCTTCTCCATTTCTTGTGAACATCGTCACAGCTGTCGATGGCATCATCTTCCAGCAATAGCAGCATCTTCGTTCTTTCATGGCCAAAACAAATGAACCTGTTGAAATTTATAGCTTTTGAATTATTTTCAGAGTCAACCTAAACATCGTTAATGAAATTCAATTGAAATCTCAGAGATTCTTGAAAATTCTGTTATAAATCGATTAATGTTCGAGATTTTTTTCCAAAAAAATCGATTAATATTGAATTTTGTTGTCTAAAAATCGGTTATCGATGAAAATTTACGATTTTGTGACGAATTTTAACAGAATTTGTGAAGAAACAGAGAATTCAATCTGAAAAGAAACAAATGTTATCAATTTTTACCAGAACTGCTTCGAAAAAGCTGAAAAAATCGGAAGAAACACCGAAAACTAAGAAAAAAATTTTGAAAAATTCGAGTGCGAATTTTTCGCGCGCTTTTGTTCGCCGGTGGCCTAGAAAAGCAAAGCTCGTCCCTAAGGGCTTTCAGTGGAAAAACAACCGTTTTTCGATGCGGTTTTCTCATTTTAGGAAATTTTTTTGAATTTTTTCTTTATTTTTATGTGAATCTACATTGAATTCTACACAAAATAAAGCAATGAAATTTTTCACCGCACTCCACCTTTAAAATATATTCGAAAATCCAATTTTTCAGAAAATACGCATTCAACGGCAACGAATCGTGCAGGAACAACGAAAGAAGCTTCTTGTAGAGAAAATATAGAATTTTAGGCCTAAATTTTTGAATTTTCAGACAATTTCGGCGCGGAAAACAATAATCGACACGATCGCAGAAATAGGAATACACCAGCGAGACGATCGGGATTCAGAGGGAGCAGACCGGCGGGACAAAGTGCGTGGATTTGGGATTTTGAGGAAATTTCTGGAAAAAGAGTATTTTTGTGGAAAAAAGCCCAATTATGTGCCTACATTGTTGCAAATTGGCTATAAATATCGATTAAAAAACTGAAAATTCGCTGAAAAATCTAAAAAATTGCCAAAATCCGATTTTTCGTAACATTATCGATTTTTAGACGTTTCGGACACAATTTTGTCTATTTTTAGGCCGAAAATTGACAGCAAACCCAATTTTCAATCGAATTTTTCAAAATTTTCAGCCTAATTTGCGCATATTGGAACTTTCTAGCCAAAAATTCTGAAAATCGGACATTTTCAGTATTTCTAGCTCTAAAATTCAGATTTTTCAATTTCCAGAGCAATTTCCGTTATCAGGAAGTCCACAAAAACCTCCTCCACAAATTCGTTCATTCGAAACTCCGCCCCCTTCTTTTCATCCGTGGGAAAATACTCATCTGCTTTGATATTATCTGCTATTTACTCGTCTGCTATATTGGCTCGTCTGCTATAGCTAGATCATCTGCTATATTGGCTCATCTGCTATAGATCATCTGCTATATTTGTCTTATCTGCTATTTTTACTCCAGTTTCAGAATCTCGTCTGCTATCAGGAAAATCATCTGCTATGGGTTTTCTAGTCTGCTATTTTTTGGGTAAATTAGTGAAACCTGAGCTTTATTAACGCTGGCGCGCAAGTAACTTGAACATGGCAAGTCAGATTCTAGTAAGTGAAGAATTCGCTGAAATTTTGGCGCTATACTAGTTGGAAGGGGTCACTTTTTTTCGCGATTTTATCACTTTTTTCGACATAAAAATGATCGCTGATTATTTCTATGATTTTTAAGTTGTTAGGACACAAAAAATTTTCCATCAAAAAAAAATTTTTTTGCCGATAATTTCCAAAAAATAGCTGTCAAAATGTAATTCTCGGATTTTCTGATGCCATCAAAAATTTTTTAGCAGTTTTTTTTTCATTTTTTCAAACATTTCAATTTATTTTTTTCGTTTTCACTTAGAATTTATTCTGAATTTGCAGATTTCTTTCCTGGAAGCCTAAGCCTATTTCAGTAATGGCAATAGTTTTAACGGAGGAGCTGCGAATTGTCCTCAATGTTCTAGGCTTAGGTAAAAATGGTAAAAGCTAAAAACATTATATTGCTCATTTCAAAGTTGTTGTTGTTGTTTACGTTNTAGTCGAGTTACATCTCCTAAAATAGTTGAACTAGTTCGTCAAAATGTCTGCTCAGGCTGCTCTTTTAAGCCTTAGAAGCTTCAATTTATTCTCTGGATGGCCCGAAGTGGCCTCGACGACCAAGGACGAGTTTGACGATTATGTCGCCGCAAGAGGTCTCTTAAAATAATTAAAATCCATTCAGGTGAACCCATTCGATTCAAGTTCGAATGTAACAAAAGAAAATGCAAAGCTTCACGCCTTGTCGTCAAAGTAGGCCTGTTGAAAACCACATTTTTCGAAGGTCTACACTGTGATCGCAAAAAGTTTTTCCTTTTCTCCTTCCTCTACGTCACCTCTTCCATGAAAGTCGAGGAAATGGCACGTAATGTTGAGGTAGACCCAAACACATGCGTGCAATGAGGTCAATGGATTCGTGATGTGATGGCCGAGAACTTCAACAATCCAGTCATCCAAATCGGGGGAGTCGGTACCATTGTGCAAATTGATGATACAAATATTGTCAAGAGGAAACACAATGTGGGCCGAATGGTGAGGGATGGCTGGTTAGTTGGAGGAATTAAGGACGGCACTCGTTCGGTGTTCGTCGAAATCACAGGACGTCGTGATCAGGCATCTCTCGAAGCGATCATTACTCGATATGTCATTCGTGGCACCACAATTCGTACTGATTGTTGGGGAGGTTATAACGGTTTGGCAGCTCTTGGATATGTTCACGAGACGGTGAATCATTCGCTCAACTTCGTGAATCCAACCACTGGTGTCCACACTCAACGTGTTGAGTCACTTTGG